GTGTTTATGTATTCCTTTTGAAAATATTAGTACATCATCTAAGTATACTATTGAAAATTTCATATATAGATAAAATATATTATTCATAATTTCTTGAAACTCACTAGGAGCATTTTTTAATTATTGGGGCATCACATTTCATTCATAATGTCCAAAGAGTATTACAAAAGCAGTTTTATATCTATCTTCTTCTTTTACTGAAATATGATAATATCCAGATTTTATGTCAAATTTTGAAAATATTTTGACACTTATTAATCTTTTAATTAAATATTGTTTATTAGGAATTGGATATCTTATCCATTTTAAGACTTTATTTAAAGGTTTATAATTTATAACCAATCTTGGAGCACCTCGTTCTTGCTTTGAAGCCTTATTTACATAAAATCCAGTACAACTCCAAGGAGATTTTGATGATCTTATTAAACCTTTTTATAAATATTCTTCTAATTCTTTTTTACAATATTGTAATTGTTCTTTATTCATTTGTATAGGTCTAACCTTAGTAGGTATATCTTTTTCATTAAAATTATCCTTATATAGTAAATTGATTTCGTATTTTTTTTTTAATGAAAAGTATTGGATTCATATCACATATTTCTTTTTCTATTTTTTGGTTCAAAATCTTTTATAATATTTTGGACCTTAGGTGTTTTTAATTGTTGTTCTATATTTTTATATCCTATTTCTTCACTTATCATTTTAATTTGACTTTTCTTTCTTTCTATTAAATTTATTTTTGATATAGAGGCTTCTTGTAATAGATTTAGTTTTCTAATTCTAGGAGATTGTAGAAATTTAAATTCTATAGTTTTTCCTTCTATTACATTACTTATAATTCCTTCATTACTTATATTACAAGGATATAATAGTGTTAAAAAAGGTGTTCCTAGAATCATTTGATTAGTCATATTCTTAACTAATACAAATGAAGTTGTAAAGCATATTTTATTTTTACAAATTTTTGCTTTTGACAATTTATATTGTATGTGCATTTTTTATCCATTTGCTGAAGATAAATTTTCAGTTGTTTTTCATAATATTTAGTGGGTATTAATCCTTCTTGTATACAATTTATGTCTGCACCTGAATCTATTAAGGCTATCATATTAAATTTTTGGATTTTTACTATTAAAGTAATTTCACACCACCATTTATGTGTTGTCATTAAAGATAGTAATTCCATATTAAATATTTTTGGTTCCTTTTTCTTTGGATATTTGCTGGTTTGTTCTTTTAAAAATTTTTTCCTTCTAATTCTAGTAATTTAAATTCTAATATTGTTTGATTTTGTTTTAACTCATTTACTTCTTTTTTTTAAATTTTTATTTCTTCTTGTAAATCTTTTATGTTAATACTGGTCCTTAGTTGTTTAAATTTTTCGTATACATCTTCCATTTCTATTGGTTTTATTTCTATAGGTTTTTCTTCTTCTTTAGTAACCAAGTCATTAAGTTTTTTAATAAATTCATTTCTAAGAGGACCTTCTTCTGATTCCTCGATAAGAGTTATTAAAGTTTGTGTTTGATCTTTTGATATTACATTTAATTGTGGTTACATACAATCCTGACAATTACATATTCCCGGTCCTAAACAATAATTATTTTCTAATTCTGATTCATTAGAAGTGTTATCCAATTGATAAATTTTATTTTCTATGGTATTTTCTTCGTTAGAGTTTTCATGTAATACTGGTTCATATATTGGGATTGAAATTCCTGATCTAGTTATATTATCTATTTCTCTTAAATCTAAATTTATTATAGAATTGTCTATTGAATGTCTTGAGGGTTCTCTTATTATATGGTGATTTTGTATTCTAATAAAAGAAGATCTATTTATCCTTAATATTATTTTTCCATTTGTTTCTTCTATGATATCTCTTATTTTAGTATTATAAATTTTTTAAGATTCTCTATTTTCTTCTAAAATCTATTCTTCTGGAATAGTTAATTCGTCATGTCTTAGCTTTTTAGGAATTTGTATTGTACTTCTTTCTAGATTAGCTTGTATAATAGTTGTTTCATTTTTAGGAGTTTCTCTCCTAGCCTAAAATCCATAATTTACTTTTGTAATTTTGTAATATACTCTATATATTAGATGGAAAGAATCATATGAACTATCTACTATATTATCTAGTGATGTTATAAATATTTTAACAGCTTTTGGTGTATTTTCATTTGTTAAACTCAGTGAAATTAGGAAAATAATTAAAGAAAGCAGGTCCATCTTGTAGATTTGTTTCTAAAGTAGCTATTATTGAATCTTTAATTCTTAATAATTTCATACCTTTTAATAATATTAAAACAGGTAAATCTAAACCTATTTTATAATTTGGTTTGACTGCTAATTGTATTAATCCTAAATGAATAAAATTAAATCCATCTCTTTTATGTTTTTGAATTAATTGATCTTCTAGTAATTGAATTTCTTTTCTATTTTGAGTACCCGGATATGAATACTCAATCTTATGGATTTCCTCATGTTTATTAAAACACCATAAAGATTGTGTTTTGTAAACATCTTTTTCTTTAACAGAATTGACCAATTATGTAAAGATTTTTTTATTTCATCTATTGTAATTTGTTGTGGTATTGTATTTGATGTTGAAGCTCCATTCTCAGACATTTCTCTTTTTATTATTTGATTATTATATCCTAAGTTTAATCTACTCATGGTTCTTAATAAATTAGCCATTATGATAAATTAGATCTTTATGTGACAGGAACACTCTAGCTGACCAACGGATTCATGGTCATTCTTATGGACTTATTACCAAAACCACTATCTAAGCTTATCAACGCCTAAACAGTTCTCACTGCTACACTTAGATCTAATTTATTATATCTTCTTCCTATATATATATATATATAATATGCTTATGTAATTTTTGGTATTATATGAAAATATCTTTAGGGTTTTGTTATTTTGTTGATTGAGATATTGAGGTTCAATTTTTGAAAAATTATATTCTTTAAGCTATACATGTATTTTCTCATAAATAATTGAATTAGGAACGATAATGTAGGATGTTATTGATCCTTTACAAAAAGGAATCGTGACATTTAAAAGAAAAGACATTATTTAAGTTGAAACCTCTAAAGTACTAAAAATATGCCCTCTCTTCACCCTCTTTCTTCCTTATATGCCTCTCTTTCTCCCCGTGATGCGTCGATCATTCACGGTGACAAAAACTTTCATCCCTTTCTTTCTTACTCCTTAACTATTTAAGGTTGTTGCTTTTTCCTGTGACTTGACTTTCATTTTCCATTTCTAGATATTGTAGCTGCTAGGTAGGAGGTTGAAGCAACATGTCTCCAATTCCAAAGCCTGATGGTTTCACCTATGGATATGTTATCACCTGACTTTTAGTAGATAATAAAAAAGTCCGCACTCTAGTTATTGTTCAAGTATTAAAAATTTTCTTTGCCAAATATATCTTGTTTTGAGAACCTTCTTAGTCTCCACAAGTGCACTATTCATGCAACGCTAGCCTCTTAAGTGCTTGTTATCTAGATGAACACTTCATTATTTCTTCCTTAATCTCAAGTACTTTACTTGACCTTTATTATGTCATCTTTCACTTGCAAATATCTCCCTTTTTTTTTCATATTTTTTCTATTAATACTTTCTTACTAGTTTTTCTTGTCTTTTTTTTTTTTTTTTGCTTTTTTACTTAGCAATTTATTCTATTCCCAACAACTTTAAATTATTTTTCTAAGAACCAAATTAAGCTTTGCTAATTTTTTTTATCATAAAAAATTTTATATACTTTTTTTTGAAAGCATAATCCAGTGTTTTCTCCTTCATAAAAAAATTAATGAATTCTAAACTTGTTTTTTCCTATTATCATTCTACAAAATTCATGTAATAATTTTATCATTTAAATATATTGTTAGATCTTAAATATTATTTATTATGATTACGATTATCATTTTACCTTCTTTTATTTTTTCTTTGTTTTTTTAATTTAAATGATATTTTTTTTGAAAAACATTAATCTCAAATTTAAAAGTAAAAATAAACAATAAAAATTTAATATATTTTTATTAAAAATGATTTATTATTATAAAAATGTAAAAGGTATTATTTTCATGAACTTAAATTGAATCCTAAAATATTGAGGTTAATAAATTTATTTTTAGTTTAGTTTATTTTCAAGTAACTATCAATTTGGTTTTTATTATTTTCAAAATTCATCTAAATAATCTCTTAAATTAAGTAAAATATTTTAATCTCTAAAATATATAATTATTAATTATTTTAATATTTATAACTTTAAGAATTTATTAAAATAATATATAATGTAAACAATCTTCAACTCATATAATTATTATTTTAGTCCTCAACGTATTTCATTATCAATTATTTATTTTTATCGTTATTTAAACGTTAATTATTTTAACGAATAAAATGATTTAACACATTAAGTATCTTATAAATATTATACTTAATATTTAATTTATTAATTTAGTTTCTATAAAATTTTAAATATAAAAATTATTTATAAACTAAATTAGTAAAAGAAAAATAAACTTTAAAATATGATTAATTAACACTTACTGTATTAAGTCAATATATCTGTTAAAACAATTAATATCTAAATAATAATAAAAGAATAAAATACTTAATAATTATATAAGTTAAAAATTAAAATTAATGATAATTTCATGTATTAAAAATTAAAATGATATTATATTTAGATTATAAATTATTTTATTATATTTTCAAAATTATAAAAATTAAAATAAATGAAATTTTCATTTGTTAGAAATTAAAATTTATTAATTTCAAGCTATTTAATAAAATTTTAAAATAATAAATACCAAATTCACATTATATCTTTTGTTTTCTCAGGAATCCGATGGAAGCGTAAATCCACTCACTCGATTCGCACGTGGATCCCTCTCTTTACACGTGTCATCTTTTAGTGCACCAAGAATCACTTGTCTCGCATGCCTTACACGAAACAAAACAACAAGCAATGACAATAAATAATCAAATAATGATAATAATAATAATTGCTAAGAGCAGATCATCATCCAGAGAGCGCCTAGCAGATCAGTTGTCTGTCTCCGACAGAAGGTTCCGTTCGTGAAAATCCCTAACTTTTATTTTATTTTATTCTTATTTTTCGTCTATTTTTTGTATGACTTTGCAGGCCGTCCCAACTCTAAAGCCAAGGTGAAATTCTTCTTTATGCTCTTTGGTTATGGGTATTGGGAGCCTTTGAATTAATTTAATGAATAACAAAAAATATTTATCATGTTTTAGATTTTGTATTTACTTGGCTGAGAAAGAGTAATATCGTGGCTACCGCGTCATTTCATAGCTAGCAGTGTTGAGTAGTGTGAGTGAAAAAGTTTCACTCTAAGTAGAAACACGGAAGTTTAACAATATACAAGTGATAATGACTTAATGCCTTAAGTTTTGGGTTGAAAGCCGTATTGAAGTCTGCTTATATGGTTTGGTTTTTCCTAGTAATTAAGTCCCTTCATATATCTTAACACCCAGTCTCTAGAAACTCTATCAAAATCAGCAAAAGTACTGGCACACTAGGTGACGGTGACTTTTTCTCTTTTAAGAATTATGATGCAGCAAAATTTCAGTGTAGATTTTCAAATTTACTAAGACACTTGTGTTAGATAGCTTAAAGCGTGGTAGAAAAGCTTAAAGGCATTGCCAATCAAGCAGTTAAAGTTGCTGACATGATATATCCTTCTTGGCCAGAATAATGCTGTGAGAAGTTGTAAGCGAATGTGTCTCTCTGTGTGTGTATATATATATATATATATGTCAACTGGATTAGGAAGCATTTAGCTGACCGATCCCTTGATAGAAATTGAAATAATTTCATGGGATGTTTCATCTATCAGCATTAAAGCATTGGTGGAAAATGGGAGGAAGCGTTACAACACTAGTGATATGGTTTGGCAGCTCCTGTTGAGGCACTTTGACAACTTTGCGGATAATGGTTATTTTTGAGTGAGAGGATATTCATAAGAATTGAAGCAGGGATAAGATATTTAGTAGAAGGGTTCATAATTCATTAGGTAAAGGTTGGTATCTTGTTCTTAGTTTTTAATCCTTTATTCCGATGGGAAGCTGTTGACCCTAAACAGTGCATCGCAGAGCGGCACCTGTATTGAAGATACGGGATAAAATTCAAAATTTAATACCCGTATAAATTTCAAAATATCAGAAATGAGTCAGTGGGTTTTGCTAGTGAAATGGAAGATGCTGAAGCTAAGATGCTCCATGGAATTGACTGACTCTATCCAGATGACATGGCTGTAAGGTAGTGACAAAACAGCGATTTAAAACACTTGTAGAAGCTAGAACTACAGCTGGAAACATTGGTGAGGGTTGGAATAGGATGGACTTGGCCTAAAGTTCACCAAGCTGTTGAAAAATAGCTGGCCTGAGAGAACGTATGCATGAATGGGACATAGTGCGCAATACAAAACTGAGTGGGCAAACTAGTGGGTTTGGCTTGGAAAACCTTTTGGCTGCCAGGAAACTGCCAGGTTGGGCGTGAAAACAAGTGTGCTGCCAGAATTTTGAAGGGTTTCTGTGCTGCAAGTTGAGAATTGTTATATATAAAATCATTCATGTATGTTCATCTGATAACTTTAGTTTATACGATAATTATAGATAAAACATAGTCATGTGATTTCACTTTCACAACACAGCTTAAACTTTTGAGATAGTTGTTTTACAACCAAAACAATGATAGGGCTGTGTTTCTTTGAAGGGAGAAGGGTTTCTAATTCTGAAATGCTTCTAAATATTTGAAAGACAGAAATCACAAAATATCCCTTAAAACTGGGTGGGAGGAATCAAAAGGATGTGCAGAACTAAGTTTTTGCCCTGTACAGTATAGTTGCCACAATGTCCTGAAGAACTCCGCAAATGGCTGGGATGTGGGTGGCAAAAAGCGGTGATGCATGGAACACCAGTAGTGGTCAAAGGTCACTATATCTGTATGTCATGTAGTGATGCTATTGAAGTGTGTGATTAACTACTGTGATCTAGCTAATTACTGGGTTTATGTGTAATTGTATTGATTTTGTATAAGTGGGAGAGCAGTGACATTGTAATGGTACAGTTGAATTTGTGTTGAAAGTTGAAACTAATAATTGCTTGATCTTTGGAATTTTTCTACTCTTCTTTAGATAAGGTGTGGGATTTTCTTTTCTTCATTATTATTTTTTCTTTACAATAACAAACAACAATAATCAAATCTTATCTCACTAAGTGAGGTTAGTTACATGGATCACATGACGTCATTAAACTCAGTCAAAAACTAAAATTTCAGAAATTTAGTTAATTAAAAGGTCTTTTTTAATAACTTTGTTTAAGTTTCTTTTAAGTCTCCCTCGACCTTTTTTGACTAAACTAAGAGTTATGCAATTCACTGTTCTTATTAACATTGTTAAAGGTCTTCTTTGCACATGATTGAACTACTTTAGACAATTTTAAGTAATATTTTTCACTATAGGTGCTATTCCAATATTCTTTCATTATTATCATTTTGTATCCTGTCCTTACTTGTGTGTCACTGATCCACTTTAGCATTTTCATTTTTGCCACTCCTACTTTTTTCTCGTGTTGTTTCTTTAAGGTTCAACATTCACTACCATATAAGATAGCTGGTCGTATTACATTGCAGTAAAACTTACCTTTTAATTTGATAGGTACTTTATGTTCACAAATGACTCCTAGTGCTTTTCTCTATTTTAATCACCCAACTTATATTTTGTGACTAACATCTTCATTAATTTTTTCATCATTTTGTATAATTGATTCCAAGTACCTCAAATTGAACACTTGTGTTATAATATCATCTTCAATTTTAACTTTTAATGCATGATCTTCATTTTGTTTTTTGCTAAACTTGTAATGCATATACTTTATCTTTTTTAACTCAAGCGAAAACCTTTAGATTTTAAGGTCTTCCTTTATAACATAGTTTAACATTGACTTCTTCTTTCGAATCTTCAACCAATATTATAATCTTTTGTATGTCATTTATAAGCACATTTAAGACGAGATTAAACTAGTAAGGACTCAAAGCAAGACCTTGATGTAAACCTATTCCAATTGGAAAGTCCTTAGATATATGCCTTCAAAATTTTTCTATAATGAACAAAAAATTCATTTTTTTAAAATACAAGCTGCTTCAAAGAATTAGACTTTAAAGAAAGGGTGTGTGTGTTTGTTCTTTTAATTTTTTAATATAAAAATACAAAATGCTTTTCTATATTAAAATGGTTTAAAAATTTTATTATAATTAGATACATATTTGGAGAAAACCAAAATCCTACCACAGAGTAGTTTTAGATTTACAGTGCTTTTGGATAATTGCTTATTTAAGCACTTATTCAATAAGCTCTTTTCAAAATGACAACTTATGTCAAATTTAACGATAAAATATATTTGAGAAAAGCTGAAAACAACTTATTTTAATAAATTATATGAAGAAGCTTATTGAAATAAGCTGAAAACAACTTATGAGATAAATCATAAATTTAGACACTTAGTCTTGAGCTCCATACACAAAAAGATGGTCTTGATGTGACTTTCATGATAGAGAAAGTAGATTGATGCAAGATTCTTGGAGAATCTAAATGTTAATACTTGAATGTTTGGAGTTTCTTATTTTTTTGTTTTTTGCATGGGGGGCAGGGGCAGGCATTAAAATTAAGCTCCAATCTGTTTTGTTAATTTAAGATTTTATGCATTGCAACTAAACCTGTTGACTGTTTCTGTCTATTCTTTGTGTTTATTATGTTCAGTGCATTTGGGAGCTTTGGACATGTCAAGTGGATCCGTGAGGCGGGTTTCTCGTGAAGATATCCAGACGGTATACGATCTTCACCTTCACTTTCTTTCACACATTCCAATATTGTATTTCTGCTTTCATTTCTTAGTTTATTTGATTCTATAGATGCAATAAATGATTGGATGTATTATTTATTTGCAAAAAAGTAGTTTCTTTGTGAGGCTTGGTGTGACTCATGAATATCAAATGTGCTAATGCTAGTCTTTACTTGAACATAAGATGCTTAGCTTGACTAGCACAAACCTCTTTTGCGATTATGAAAGTTTGATACATTGCATATGATGGATTCTGTTTACATTTCTTCATTTTTTATTCAAAATAGTATTTCTTGTTGTCTACAAAAACAAATATTAATTAGCTTTAATGTGACATGCCATTTTGAGATTCATTCTCATTTCTTTAATTGCAACACGTAATGCAGCCTGGTTGTTTGTCTTTAGGGTTACCTCTTTGAGATAACTTGTTTGATTCTTAAGGTTCTTGGAAAGAACCATTATTTATTAAGGGTTCTCATACTTTTGTGGCAATTTTTCACCGAACTTATCATTCTCCGTTCTTTTTAGAATTGAGTTTGTGGTGCTTCCTTTTCTTTTTCTTTTGGTTTTCTTGTTTATTTGCATTTGAAATCTCATTTTTGTTTAGTTTTATCTCATGTTCATAACTCACATTTTATGAATCTTTTTTTTTTTGTATTTCTTGATCCAAATTTGTGTAGCAAATCGTCTTCTTTCATCTTGATTTTGCATCGACGAAATTCAAATTTTGTAGAGCGAAATACACTTCTGTTATGACACAGTTTTGTTTCATGACCTAAAATGAACTAACTAAAGAAAAGATCCCATTAATTCTATGGAAAGATAAAACTGAACAAATATAGATTTCAAATGCAAATAAACAAGAAAACCAGAAAAATGAAAAAGAAAAAAAGTGTTGCAAACTCAATTCTGTGAAGAATAGAGAATGATAAGCTTGGTATAAAATAGCCACAAAAGTGTAAGGAACCTTTGATAAGATTCAAGTAATGGTTTTTTCCAAAAACCCTGAGAGGCACACAAGTTTTCAAGTTCTCTCAAAGTGGTAACCCTCAATTCTCATTCAAAAGTAATTGTTATTGTTGTAATGCAGCCTGATAAAACCCAATTCTATAATATAGTAAATCTTATTTTTACATCATTTTCTTCACTCAGGATTGTGCTTCCTTGCTTCACTTGGGAGTTCTTTTTATCATAAATTTTTAATCTAACAAGGAAAAGAAGAATAGGAAATCATTGCCTGAATTCTTACTCCAGCAAGGAGTAGGGACCTTAACAATGTAGAACAGATATATAATGATTCATAATGCTAGGGATGAAGACAAGTAAAATGGACAAATTAGGTTCATAAACCCTTGAATGGGAAGTCTCTTTTTCTGTTTGCTAGTGAAAGGCAACAATTACTTTTTGAAATTTTATCATTACCTTGATTTATCCATGTCAGAAAGACCCTGCTTTCTGGCTGTTTGCTACTATTTTCCTTCTTTTGTTAGATCATTGTTAAGTAGCTGTGCTATTCATCAACAAGTGAATTCCTTCCTTTTTCCTGCTAATTTTTTTTAATATTGAAGTAGCACTTAGAGTTGAAAAGATGACTGAAAATTGTCGAAGGTAATTTAGTCACGTAAAGATAAGACCTTTGGAGGCACCAGTAAAGAGAGTGAATTGCAAAATTTTTGTTGGATAAAAAGGGTTGAGGGAGACCAAATGAACCTTAGATGAAGTTATTAAAAGAGACTTTTTGATTAACTAATTTTTTGAAAATTTGGTTTCTGATCAAGTTTAATGGTGTCGTGCGTTCCATGAAGCCAACTTCATGTAGTGGAATAAGGCTTGGATGTTGTTTTAGGTTGAATAGTACATTGGAGGGGAGGGTGTACCCCTGATTTAACATTTGAATTTGGGCTTTAAGCCTAACTCAACCCCAAAAACTAACTTGTAAGGTGAGGATTGCTTTAGTCTTAATAAACTTTAATTTAGTTATATGATATCTATAGCGGATGTAGGACTTCAAGAGTAATGGATGTTGAAAATGAGAGGTTTAGTTAGTAATGGTCAAAGTTAGTTAGTAACAACAGAAAATTAGTTGTTGTTGTGGTGAATATGTAGGGAAGGATTAGCTAAGAGAAAGGAGTCTTTTGGGAGAAATCAAACTTGTATCCTTTCAGTCTGTCATTGGGAGTGAACTTGCTGAATAATACCATTTCTTTGTCTTGCTATTCAGCATATCTTTTTATTCCTTTTCTCTCTGTTTTACCAGTTCTATCATAGATGAATGTCATCATGTGTGATGTGGATAAAGTAGGCTGCAGAAAGGGGAACAAGGACACATGTTATTGCATACAGATGGACTGGATTTGTTTGTAGATCATTTCTAGAGGTTGTAGTGATATTATTGAAGTGTAAATGTTGGGAGTTCATTAAAGTTACTTTCTAAATCAAGTAGGACCTTTTCCTTCTTTTTAATTGATGTTCTTTAATAAGGTTACAGCACCTCTGCTTGTTGGGGGTAAGACCACATACAACTACTCTCCTCAAAGTCCAATTGACGGGAGCCTTATGCACTGAACCACCCTGTCTCTTTGAAAATATGTAACATTTTAAGGAAATATTTCTACTCCTTTCTATTTCATTAAGCTCAAAGATATGTTATATCCATTCCTTTTTCTCTCCCCTCTCTAAAAGTTAGATATGTAGTTTTTGAATGATATGTTAAATCCATTCCTTTTTGTACTTATGACATAAGTGGATGAAAAATACTCATTTACACCAAGCTAAAAAAAAAAAGAAAAAGATAAAGAATGCTAGGACAATTCAGGAAGCTAGTCATGTAGTCATTTCTACAAAATGATAAGGCACCTTTAATTTTGATCTCTAGCCACTGATTGCTGAAATTTTTGTTATTTATGTATCAGCTGTTTAATCTGTAAATTAAATTATTTGTTGGAGTAAGGAATAGGGAAAATGGGATATCATAAAAGAGTAGTCTTTCGTGGAGTACATAAATAAAGTTTCATTTCCATCAGCATTTAGTGACAGGATTTAACATGGGGATCATTTTGACGACAAACTAGTTTTGCAGGGCGTATTTGACAGTATTCATGTTTTAGGACTAACTTGACTGACAGTCTATCTTTCAAGGACCAAAATAATGTTTCATTTGAATAATGTCGTATATTTCTTGATTGATATTTCGTAATTTATTTTAGTTAGGTACTAATTAGTATCTTGTTATTTGGGGTTTTATGCAATTTAAGATTTCTATTGACTGATAATTTCTTTTTCAATTAGGATTATTTGACTTTCAGGTTAGGTGATTATTAAGATTGGCTTGGTTTTTGTGTTTAAGGACTGCTGCTATGTACTTTGATTGTAGTCTATAACTTTGTCGTAGATATTACTACTGAGTTTTCTATCAAACTCGTTTTAATTTGACTTAAATAAACAAGTCCCTAAAATTATGATTTTTTAGTCCTTATAAAAATTTTATTCACTTTTAGTCCCTAAAAGTTACAAAAATCATATGCTTTTTAATCCTTGGTGAGGGACTATAACAAAGATGTAGGGACTAAAAATGAATAAAAATTTACAAGGACTAAAACCAAAAGATGTTTTCAAAGATCAAAACTATATTTAAACCTTATAATTTTCACTCTGTCTCTTCGTGAAATTTCTTCACTATTGCCTCCACTGTTGCATTCATCATACACTAACCATGATTTTGTTTATATCATTGCAGGTGCAAAATCTCATAGAACGATGTCTACAACTATACATGAGCCCAAAAGAAGTTGTTGAAACACTACTAGCTCAAGCAAAAATTGAGCCTGGTTTTACCGAACTTGGTAGTAACTTTTTCATTAGCATGCATACATACATACATACATACATATCTTGGATATTGCCAGGATCAGAAGCCACCCCTTCTCTTGAAATGATGTGACCCAACCTAAGTACTCCACCTGCTTCTGCCCAAAATAAAATTTCTTCCTGTTAGCAAAGAACCATGCTCTGACAACACCTGCAACACTGCTTCTAATTGTTTCTCATTTCATTTCATCTTTAAATAGGGATGTCATCGAAGGATACCAATGCAAATTTCCTCAAGAAAGGTCTAAACACCTTATTCATGAGGGCTTGGAACATTGAAGGTGCATTTGTGACGCCAAATGGCATCACTAAAAATTCATAATAGCCCTCATGTATTCTAAAAGTAGTCTTGGATATGTTCTCCTTCGTCCGGAATTGATGATAACCTGACTTTTAGTCAAGTTATTGAAAACAACTACAGCTGCTAGTTCATCCACTAGTTCAGCAATCACTAGTACTGAAAATTTGCCTGGATTAGTAAGTTTGTTGAGTGCCGGATAGTCCTCACAAAACCTCGAATCCCCATTTATCTTTTTAAAAAGGATCATAGGGCTGCTAAATGGGTTAGTGATCGGCTTTATAATTCCTACTTGTAACATTTCATTCAATTTTCTCAATTTCATTCTTTTGGTACTAAGGGTACTTGTAGGGTTGGATATTGGGTATTTGGTTCTCCTCCTCCAATAAAATAGCATGATCTTGCTCCTTCTTGGTGGTAATTCCCTTTGTCTCTTGGAATCCATCCTCAAACTTGGCTAGCACCCCTTCAATTGCTTGTGTGACACATTTGGATTCGTATTAATCCACTACAGATCTGTCACCTCTCCCAAATACTGATAGGTGATGTAATAACCTTCTCCTTCATCATGCAAGGCCTTGATCATGGCTCTCCAAGAAGTCTGTTCTTTACACAAGAAAGAATTGCCCTTCAACCCTTGCTTATGTTCTCCTTTTCTCCACTTGAGGGTTAGGTTCTTGAAGTTTGCCTCAGTTTCATCCAAGCTTGCCAACCACTCCATTCCCACCAAATTAAAGAGGAAAAAAAATAAAATCCTGCTCTACCTGAATTCCCTATGCATCAAGCTTCCCTCCTTTACATATTCTACTATCCATTCTCCATTTCCACTACATATTGAAGGGTTTCATACTTTCATACACCTGTAGTTGCAAATCAATCGGCAAATACTTGAAAATAAAGTTGCTAGTGGCTTGCAAGGTTTTGTTATCCATTTCAAACTAAATTTCTGTGTTTTTGGTAGCACTTCATCTTCCTCCTCTCCTTGTTGACCTTCCATCAGTAACTGTTGGTAATTATACATATGGTCCTGTCCTCACTTCTGCCCACATGTTAAGCGGAGGCTGTTGTGTACTTCTTTCCTGTAATTCAGCTTGGGACAACAAACACCCTTCCGGCAGTTTATTCTCTACTTGAATTTCTGCAAGTGGTTACCCTTAGCTTATTACGTACCCTAATTCGGTTTTAGGTGCAATCCATTTACTGTAGTTTATTCTCCCCTTGCTCTCGGATCCATCTCCCTTGTCCTTCAATCTCATCGTATCATCCTCCAGTAGTCCCCCTTTTCATAATGCTACATTCTTTTCTTCTAGTAGCACAGCATGATCTATCAGCTCAAAAAGATATTTCTTGTAAAATTTGAGCTCTGGCTTCAGTTCCTCCTCCTGCCCATTAAAGAAGCTCTCGTTAAGTAACACATGGTCAGCTCTCTTCAACGGCGCTAACACAATTTCAAACTGCTCTTGGTGCTCTATTATTGTTCCAGTCTGCTTAATGCTTAGTAAGAGCCCGGATGGATTTTGAAGCCACCTGAGATGAAAGTGTCTGGTCACCACTGCTTTGAAACTCCCAACTTCAAATTAGGGTCTTCTCTTCCCATCAATTGTACTAGTTTAAAGTTCAATCCACCAATGCAACCAACACTAAAGTTTCTCCTCTTTTGATATATAGTTCAGCTTGAAGTAGAGTTCAACCCTGAACATTTCACCATAGGCGTTGTCCCCATTGAATATAAGAATCTCTAGCTTCCTTCCCCCTAAGTCAAACAACAGAGCGGAAACAACAGAGGGGAATCCTCCCTCTGATGTTAGGATCAAGATCTGGCCTCATTGGATTGATTTCCACAGCTCCCATTATCAGAGACCTTCGTCCTACTTCTTTGGTGAGAATGGCCTTGTGTACATTGTTGGTGCTCTAGCAACCATTGCTTGATTTCCTCAACTCGACTACTGGGGTTTGTAAGCTTCGTTCAACATTTTCGATTCTTGATTCCATTGCAACTTGCATGATTGACCATACAAGCTCCTGGATCAAGGTCTCTAATGCAAATTGATAAATTCAACACATGAACAAAACCCAAAGAATCTATGATGTATTATTTTGTATATTTCCTGTCTAAAATCATAGAAAACTAAAGCAGTGTTTACAGGACAAAAATATGGAAATACAAAAGAAAGGAAATGAGCAATTTGAGAGTGGTGTGCTTTCCCAAGGCCCATTCCTGTCCCAATTCCAGTCCCAATTCCAGCTTATCTCCCCCCTTCCCCCCATTCACGCATCCCTCACAATAATCAACCTCTCTAATGGTCTCACGTGTGACATGCCACACAGCATTGCCAGCTAGGCAGCTGTTCTCCTATACTTCCTTTTCTTATACTTGTGCTTCATTGTGGGTCTCTTAGTTTGGGTTGTATTAGTAGCATTGTTGTTACGTTGGCAACACTGTGATGCTGCGATGGTTGCTTTTTTGAAACTTGAATTTCTAACATGCTGCAAGATTTTGCAGCTTTGTACTGCTTTGGCCCTCTGTTTTTTTCTGTTTGAGAAATTATCAATAATATGAATTGATTGAACACAATCATCAACGAGAAACTGTATTAATGCACTCTGCTTGATTTCTACCAAATCTTCAGCTTGTTAAGTTTTATAAGTATCCAATAAAATCTTGACTTGGGTATTTCATAAGGGATTTGTACTCCTTGTCTTCATACTATGAAACATTTCTCTTTCTGTTTTGGAGGATAACTTGTCTTCCCTCTGGTTGTTTTTTCTTTCCTCTCTTGTAATATTTTTTTTTTCTTTTTGCCTCGAAAAAATTAAAATTCAGTCATTTTGGGCCCATTAGGTTTGAGAAAAGTTTTTCTGTTTTCATTTTTTGTTTTTAAACCGACGACCCATATGGAATAGGCTATTAAATCCAATCTCACTTAACATCTGTCTTACCCACTAGTTCACAAGTAGTCTGAGGAGCCTTAGCATGATATTATGCCTTTGTAGAAGACCATGCTATCATATTTTGACTTTTTACTCTTGCATGATATCAAACTACTCACAAGTGGCCATGGTCCAACCATTGGTTAAACTGGAGTTTTTATTTTAATTTTTGTTTTTTCCCTTATCATTATCATTAATTTTATAGACATGAATTTAATATTTTAAAACTAGGACTTCATTCTATGCATATTAATAATTTGGTTAATAAGCTTATTGTCCCAACTCGGAATTGGGTCCATGATCAGCGCATAAATTTAGTTACCTAGAAACATGTCTTAATCTGACAAGCCTATTTAGAAGTAAACATATGAAATAATAAACTTTTTCTAACAATATAACAAATTTGCTAAAATTTTGGTAGGATTTTCTTTGTGTTTTCATCATCCTTAAATATGCTAACCTATCAAAATCAATCTATAATACAATCACAACCAATGAAATTTAAGATTCTTATAATATTAATATTAATCTATTACATAACCAATATAATACTCAACTCTTTAAGGAAAGTCCAAAATATAATAAAAGCAAATAAAATAAAATAAAGGCCACCAAAAAATAAGGGCTTACCAATGAATATTCTACAAGGATGTTATGATGTTTACAAGGATGATATGATGTTTCCATAGCTTGTAACTCTGCAATTTTACGATTTGAAAGTAACAGATTAATAGAAGGTGAGTCAAATTTACTCAATAAGAGCATAATAATCATAATTCATAATGAATAAAAAAGCAAAACAATTATAAAGTTTACTTATAACACACATCTAAAAAAATTCATTCTAACTGTCTTTTAACAAAAGGGTTTGATCACAAATTAAAAGTTTACAAACTTACATTGTTAAATATAAATATTCTTTCAATCATAATTACTATATGAAGTACACGAAAAATATTAAAGAATTATATATATATAATATTATATGGGTCACTCATGAAAAAATTGAAGTCTAAGACAATTTTACGTTGTTGATAACCCTCTCCTCTTAAGCATGATCTCTCCCTTAGAGGTAACTTCATTTAATAGATAGCTTTCTTGTGTACATCATGTCAAAATTCATCTCAATGGGAGTAACTTCACTACTTCACTTGGTTAATAATCTTTTCTTTGCATTGACAGCTTCATCTAACGGATAACTTCCTTCTCTTAGAGTATAATTAGGTGCACCTGGTGCATTTGGACCATTATTTTCTCTAATAGTTACAAGTTTCTATAACATAGTTTCTCCTAAAAAAAATTATGTAGTTATCGTACATAATTTAAATTTATTATCAATAATAAAAGTCTCAATACATATATCTTATAATTAAATATTGTCCAATAAAACAAATAATTACTTTTCTCACATTTTACAAATAAATTCAAATAATTGACCAAAATATATATCATAATAAACTCATATGATTAAAAAGTAAATTTAAGACTTGTTTGCTCAAGCAAATAATTTTTAGGCAAGAGCACGTGATAAATAATTAGAGTAATACTTATAAAAATATGCCATTATAATTATTATCCCCTCACAAACAGTGAAGAACCAATTAAGTCACTCCTTAGGACTACTCTCAAACTGTGAGAAAAGTTCAAGCCAACAAATTTGAATACCAAAAATATTTTAATAAAGATTCAAAATTAAATTTAATAATAAAATCTTTAAATTTATACTAAGAATTATAAAATACAAATTCTCTAAAAATGAGAATTTGTCAAGAATTAATATTTTCATCTATTGGAGTCCTAATCATATTTTAGGAACTCAAATAAAATTTTATTTTGTAACGAGTGACACTCCTGTCTCTTTAGAGCACTGTCCCCCATTCCAAAAATTCACCTAAAGCTATTTATGTCAAAAAAAAAAAATGGATTACAAATGTTTTTTCAGAATCACAAAATGATGAGTTAGAGTAAGAAAATAAATGCTCACGTAAAAGAATGAGAGAAAATGACAAGAACAGCATTGAGAGACCAAATGATGCAAAAGCAAGTGCATCGAAGAGTAATGTTAGCAAAACACTCTCTACCACACTCTTTGTAACACATTTTACAAAAATCATGTGTGTCTAAACTCTTTCTCGTTTCTAAATTGAAATAGTCTCATGCTCTTTTAGTTTTTAATAAATTTTAACAAATTGTATAGTGTTTTAGAGTGTTGTTAGCATTACTTTTGCGTGGAAAGGAAAAGGAATTTGATGGGGCAGGGGCGCTGAAAGAAAGAAAAAAAGTATACATTTTTTGTCAAACATCCTTTCTTCTTTTTTTAAACAGTGCGTTTCACTTATGATCATGGAGTGTTGATAAATTAATAGAGGGTAAGTATACTCTTTAAATTGTTATAACTTCTTAATTAGTAGAAAGCCTAATTTAAATATACTTAATATTATTTTACAATAAATACATATTTAATATGTATTATTATAGGATATATTTGAAATTAGAAGGTTATTTAATATATACACTAATCAGTGAAGACAGGGGAACTGGTGGTCTAGCGCCATCTTCCAAAACAGAGGATCTAAGTTCAAATCAGGCTGGGACAAGTTGACATTTTTTATGATTAGTGGTTCAGGAGGCTTACAGCCAACTGACTTAAACTGCCATTTCTTTTTCTGGGTAAGTGAGAGGACCAATGCTGTGAACAGAAAAAAAAAGAAGAGGTTTTGTACTAAAAAAGGGACCAACTGTGGCATTTAAACAGTCTATTTCATTTTCACTTTACGTATCTGTACATGGATTTTTTTGTTGTGCATACAAGAATTAAGTATTTGTTTGCATGGTGCCTTGTCCATAGATTGCTGTGGGAAGCCTCTATAAATTGCTGGTGGATTTGAAGATGGAAACATGTAATCTTATCATGTCATAGGAACAGAATTGGTTATTTAACAGATTGAAACAAGTAGTTTAACAGATTGAAACAAGTAGTTTAACTCATTAAACTCCTTATGTACGGTTATTTATTGAAATGGAAAATATATTGAAATTTAATGACTATAAATGCAAATATTAGTCATGTCTTGTTTGCTTTATGTAATTAGATCAATAGTTTCAAAATTGCATGCCTGGAATAAAAACTTAGAATCCTTTTAACTTTCACCCTATAAAATTTCTGTCATATTTACATGTTCTCACTCTCCTGTCCTTGTCTTTTAAATTTTCAGCTTTTTTTCTCTTTCTACTTTTTTAGTTTGTTATTAATTATGTAAACTTCCCTTACAAGAAAGATAAGTAACTTATTTTTTAAGAAGATGAAGCTTGGTTGCTTTGCAATATGTAACTCTGTCATGCTTGGTAGCTGCTGCTGGAATTAGAAATCTCATGCCTGGGTACTGTACTTTTACCACTGACATTATTGTAAAAGGCAAAGTGTTTTTTGGTGCTTTCTAATTCATGTCAAACTAAAAAGCTGTGTTATTTGAACTTCCGTTAGGGATATATTGTTATCAGGAGTAAGATCTGGTTTTTATCTTTAACTGCTGTTGAAATTTCTCTATAGTGCTGGGAATTGGGTATTGGAGTCTGTGTCAATAGTCACTGTGTTAGCCATGATTTATTTTCCATTTCTGTGATGTTTCAGTTTGGCAAAAGCTCGAAGAAGAAAATCAAGAATTCTTCAAGGCTTATTATTTAAGGTTGTTATTAAAGGAGCAAATAACAGAGTTCAACAGGTTGCTGAAGGAACATGCTGAACTAAGTCAGCTACACTCAACTTCAGTTGCATCACTGCCTAACTCTAATGGTTCACATATTCCCGCGTGTAAGTTCATATTATTTGCACGGATTTCATTCCATCCCTTTTGGTAAACCTTTTTAATTTCTATTTTCCATTCTTTTTGAAGTTCTTTTTCATTTCATGAATAATTTATCGTCCCCCTACTCATTGCAAAGTATCCTGGTTGGATTGAATACAGTTATTCAGGTTTTACCATTTATGAATTGTACCAAAAGTGGAGAAATAGGAGGAAGCTCAAATTACACTTTTTATGCACTTGAGCTTATTTGTCTCAAACTGAGTAATTTCATTCAGTTTTGTTGTCAAAAATTGGTTTCTTGGTATCTCATCTCGCAAAATTTTAGCTGTCTAGGTCTAGGTGCAACCGCCAAAATTGAATTACTATGGGATTAATTGAAATTGCACTTAAATGCTTTTGTGTTAACTCTGAAATTTGTGAAGTTTCCTTTTACCTACCCTTTGCTGCTGCTGTAAGTAAATCTATGGATTTTCTTTTTGCATGTTCTCTTTGAGCTGCAAAAATGGGTTGATTTTGATAGGAGTACAAAATTTCCAAGAGAAGAATATGAATTTTTTGGGAACCTGGAGACTCATAATTTTTGTTTTATATATGTGGGTAAAAGTTGTCATTCTCAAAATACAGCTTGTAATATACCTGATAGAGATAACGTATAATGATAAGGTAGAGATTAATTGAATAGACAAACAGACGAGTAGAATGCAGTTGCGTATTTTGTTATAATATGCCTGTTTTCATATCTGACTTGAATTATTATTTTTAGTAATTTTACAACACTTGTCACTTTACATAACAGTAGCCCAGAACCTGTCTTGCTACGCTGCTGAGCAAGGCAGAGCAGCTATGAAGCCAGAAAATATTCAATGTACTGTTGATTCCAGTCTACATAATGTGTTTAATAATGGTGCATCATCACTCCACACTAATATGCATGCTGTGGTTGAGATGTCAACTCATAGAAATAGGATTGACAGCCCTCAAAGCATGCTTTCAACTCAAAGCTCTAGCATGGGTTTGGTGCCAGGAATTAATGGGGGAATGATCAAATCAGAACCTGGATATTCAGGTAGTTCTCCTTACATTTTTGCTCCCGATGGCACAGTCCTGGAGGCATGCCCAACTATTGGTGATGCATCAGTTACGTCATTCACTAGTGTAGACTCGAACTCTCATTCTATGAATGGGGCACTCCTGGACCCAGACATTCCTTCATTTGGAGTTTTGGGTCAGATTTCTAGAAATCTCAGCCTCTCAGATCTGACTGCTGATTTTTCTCAGAGTTCTGGTATGCTCCTCTCTCTTTTGTCACGTGGGTGACTCTTCTGTATGCTTTCTTATTTCTGGTCTCGTGAGTGTGTTTGTGTTTCCTGATGGTAATGAGTAAAATGTTGGTCAAGCCATGCTTCATGTTGATTGTTTCCAGTTTCAATATTGTACACAATGAAACTAGGGAAGTATATTAGCATTAATACATTGGTTTCCATTTTTGTCAGACATAATTGAGAGCTATCCAAGGTGTCCCTACCTGGCTACCCCTAATGAGAACTTCCTTGAAAGAGGAGAACAAGGTAAGAAACCACTACCCCCTCACCTCTTAAGAAAGTCCATCCATTATTCCTCAGCGGTGCTATGCTGATACTAATATTATCTTGGACAAAGAAAGGCTGTATTGTGTCATAAGGCGGGATTTATGACAATTTTAGGAGAGTATAACGGATAATCAATTTTTATTTTTGAAACTGGAATAAATAATATAGCTAGCTGCTATAAGGAAAAATTTCAACCTCTGCTACGTAGGTAAGGTTTGTGTGTTACACCTAATAATAAGTGTTTTTCTTGCCTGCAGGTTGAAGAGCATACTTAAAAAGAAGTGCGCTTGTAAATACAAGTTTGACAGATTTTGAAATTCCAATGTGTATGGGTGTATAGGAGTCACTAACTTCATTTTGATGGGAAAAGATTTGGAAGCGTTTGCATGGTCTTTACAAATAATGGATCCTTTATTATTTTGGTTTATTCTTCATTTGTTCGTTTTAGTACTTTGCTTTTCATTGAGTGAATTTAATGGATATTACTGGTATTAGTATAGGAGAAATAGGAAAATTCAGAGAGCAAAATCTCTTATAGACCAAAGTATTAATTTTGTCAAATTGAAAGAAAAAAATTTAGATATTTACTTTTTTTTACACTACATCGGGCTGAGAAATGACAATATTTGTTAACATAACTGTAAGTGCCTTTGCGGGAAAACTGTAATTTTTCTATGCTCTTCAAAACACTTTTGTTATGGGATAAATTTTGAGCTTCACAAATAAAGAATGGATTGAAATTTTGTAGCATTAACGTAAAATATATTTATAATTTTTTTTTATTTGTGGATATTTAAACTCAATTTTAAGAATTGAAGTTAACAGAATTTTTTATTTAAAGTTTCAGCAAAAATGATCTTTTATTATTTATAAAATGCGTGTAAAGTGGGGTAGAGAGGAGAGAGAAAAAATAAAATATGCGATGAGTGATGTGATATAAAAAAAGAAAAAAAGAGATAGAAAGATAAAATAAGTGCAAAATAAATGTAAGATAATAAAATATGTAAAAAAGAAAATACTTTTATGTATTAAATTTAACTCCTCAATTTTAAATGAAAGCATTTTTATGGACGGATTTTTTTTTTTTTTACTATGCTATGCGATTTTTTCTTCTTTGAACATTTACTTTTAATTTAACTTTTAAATTTTGAAATGGAAATTTGAGTCGGATTCGTTGATATTATGCATAAAATTTAAACATTTATACTTTAAAAAAAAATATAATAATAACTAACTTAATTATTAAATTATTTTATATTATATTTGTAATTATATATACTAAATTTCATATAATTTGGTAGGAATGAGAAAGAATTGAAGGTTGGACTGAAAATAGGTTAATCATAGGTCTAACATTAATTGGGTGAGTTGAATGGATATGGATTATTTTGGGTATAATAATTAAATCTAAATGGGTTGGTTTGATTGGATACGAATTGATATTTTCAATTTTTTTGTTGGGAAATGAAATGATAAATGAGAGATGAGAGAGATATCAAATCAAATAAAACATGGTGCTCAATGCTTCACATTTATTATATTTTTCAATTTCACGTTTCACCCTCTCTTTTCTCCTTTTGCCAGTCTTTATTAATAGTTATAAAGGGCATTAGCACAAGTAGGGATGAGGAAGAAACATTGGTCCAACAGAAATCGGCTTATCTAAAACAGTAAATAATGTTGCACTTCTTTCACTTCCACATCTAATCTTTTAGAAAGACCGAAACATTTATTTCCATAAATTATTTTTTTCATTTTATTTTTTATTTTTCTAAGTTTTAACTCTAATGGCATTATGACAATGTCGCACTCACGTCTACCAATGGTAGCTTCAGGACGTGATGTTTTTGTGTTTCTCAGTAAGGTGAAGGGATGAAATAATTTTATGGTGATTTTAGAGACATAAATGATGGTTTGATTAATTGAGTTATGACTACAATGAGGGGACTATTAAGTAGTGCCATTGTGAGGAAAGACACACAGTGGTGGAAAAATGAAATGATAAGGCTCAAACTTATACCAACTCACTTAATAGAACCACAAATCTATCTTATTCACAACCGACTAAATCGTTAAGTAACTTGATCAAGAATGAGTCACGTTGTATCAAGTTCAATTTTCTATAATTTAGAATTTTTGAACCTGCAATTAACCGGTGCCTAACCCTAATTGCACAAGTAGATATGGTAACACTTAAAGCATGACATGACAAGTAATTAATTTCTGCAGCCGATGACATTTTTACCTTACAAAAGCAAGCAACTAGAGTGCAAGAGGTAACAAAGTCACAAATATGTTATCAAGTATTATAAAATAACTTATAACTTTTTATTATAACATTTTTTTTTTCATATTATTATATCCTTTATCGACTATCAAATATTATAAAATAACTTATAATTTTTTATTTCAATATAGAGGTAACAGTCAAAATATAAACAGAAATTTGTATTTTTTAATATTTTTTTTGATAGGCAAAACAAATCTTATTAAAAAGAGTTCAAGGGGAACTCAAAACTCATATACACAAAAAATTACTTACTCAGAAAAATAAAAAGCAAAAATATACTTATGCAAAAGTAAGACAGATACAATTTCGTGGGTTCAAATACCAATCAGCTAACATAATAGCTTCTCTCTTACTAACAAGTGATAACCATTTCCAGGATCTCAGAATAATAGAATCTAGGACTTCCCTCTCATCCAAAACACCATTGGAAAATATAATTCTATTTCTATGCAACTACAAAGACCACATTGTACTTACCCAAATAATTAATAAGCATATTCCTTCTCTTTTACTACAGCCAACACCAACCCAAGAAAGCAAGTGAGTCGATAAATCTGAAGGCAAAACCAGTGAGAATCCAATCCAACGCGCAGTAAAGTATCAGATTTGAGATGAAACTGAGCACGTTAAAAATAAATGAGTTGGAAGTTTCTCCAAACCATGACAGAAACAACAAGTTATATCATCAATTTGAACACCACGATCAATCAGTAAACCTTTACAAGGAAGTGCATTTAACAACAATTGCCAAGAAAAAACCAGACACTTAAGAGGGACCTTCCCTCTCCATAGCCTTTGCAAGGCATCTGCCGTACACTAATCTACACTATTAGGACCACCAAAAAGTTCAAATAGCCATGAATACGCAGATTGCACTGAATAACAACCTGAAGAATCTGCTCTCCATATCCATTTATCTTCTTGTAGTAACTTAATAGAAACTCCATTCACAAGCTCCAACAAAAGATTAAAACTCGAGATCTCATGTTGAAAGAGTCCTCTTCGCCAACTAACATTCCAAACTCATCTAGTGCCATCATGAAAACCATTCTCCAATACATGTGATTCAGCATTTCTCGCCACTGCAAATAATCGCGGAAATGCTTCACACAATCGCACCCCTCCTACCCACTTATCTCTCAAAAAAAGAGTGTGTAAACCTGCACCCACACTTCTATCAAACTTCTCATCCAGCCATAAATTCCCTTGATGAATAACCTCCAGCAAATCACGCCACCACAAAGAACATCTGTTGTGAACTGATGAACGCTGAAGAGAAGAAGCTAATTTTCCATATCTAGATTCCAACACCCGCACCCACAATGAACTAGAACAGTTAACACCTCGCCACAACCATTTACCAAGAAGCGCCCAATTAAACCACTGCACATTCCTAATGCCCAAGCCACCATTCTTCCGCGGTCTACATACAGTTTTCCATTTCACCCAGGGGATTTTAGATCCATCCTTAACACCCTTCCATAAAAAATTCTGTTGGATAGTGACAATTTCCTTTATTACCGACTTCGGCACCTTAAAAAAGGATAACGAGTGCAATGACATAGAATTAAGAACGACATTAATCAAAGTCACCCTACCTCCAATCGATAAATACCTATGCTTCCATGACGCTAACCGCTTTTTAAGAGCCTCTAACACACCCTTCCATGCACTAGGCTTTCTCGGGTTAACACCTAACTGTAACCCGAGATACTTTAATGGGAAACTACCAATCTTACAATGTAGGAACTCCGCAGCCAAGTTTTCAAAGTCATCACCAGTGTTAATCCCCAATACAAAAGATTTATGGAAGTTAATTTTCATACCTGACATTAATTCAAAGCTATGCAATACTGCTTTCAAAGTCCACAAATTCTGCACCGAAGCCTCTCCCATAATCAATGTGTCATCCGCAAACTGCAGCAAAGAAATATCTGGTCCCCCTTCCCCAATCGTCACACCAGAGAATAACCCACAAGTCACTGCCTTCCGCATAAGAACTCCTAACCCTTCCGCTGCCACAAGAAAAAGAAAAGGGGCAAGAGGATCCCCCTGTTTTAGGCCCCGCTCAATATGAACCTCCAATGTAGGACAACCATTAATCAAAGCTGATAGGCTTCTCCCATACACACAAGCTTTTATCCAACTGACCCGTTTGTCTGAAAATCCAAAGCTACGTAACATAAACAAAAGATATCCCCACTCTATCGAATCATACACCTTCTCATAATCAAGCTTTAACACAAAACACCTCTTATTATACCTCTGCACATAATCAACTGCTTCATTAGCCACAAGTACACTATCTAACATGTTCCTTCCCGGGATAAAGGCTGATTGTTCTTCTGAAATTATTAAATCCAAAACTCCTTTCAACCTATTTGCCAAAAGCTTGGAAACAATCTTATAAAGACAACCTAATAATGAGATAGGCCGAAAATCAGATATCTGTTATGGGCAAGACACTTTTGGCACAAGTGCTACAAAATAAGATAATAAAGACCTAGGTATTTTTTAATATAGTAATTAATATATTTTATAAATTATTAATTGATGAAAAAGGAAAATTAAAAAAAGGTAAATAGGATGTGGTGACCATTATTATAAGCGATCTGCTTGGTGCATTGACTCACTTACTCTGACATTCCTGTTTTTCACAAAATTTAAAATTTATTTATTTATTTTGAATTTTAAGAAAAAGAAAAAGAATGGTTAAATTGTTATTGAGCAAGAATAAGATATATCTCATCATTTCTAGTTAAAAAAAAGAAGAAGAAGAAAGAAAAGAGCATCGAAGTTCTTATGATAACAAGTCATGTTAAGCACATCTTGCTAAATAACTTTTCTATACCTTATGCTTTTGTTTTTGTTTGTGCCGCTTTGTTCCTTCCTCTAGAATGCATGTTTTAACATATTTTAAGCAAGAGATCTATGTTTAGGGTGTTCCTAGAATGCATGTTGGTAAAAACTCTCACCAGCAAACTACTACTAGACACATTCCCCTACTCCATTAAGAAGGTTAGTCGAAGAGACTTTGTACAAGACGAACGCAAGGAGACAAAGAAAGATTATGAATTAGATAATTCAAAACCGTTCAAATTCATCCCATTACTCGCATAAGTTCTCAAACCAAACTAGAGTTAACCGATGACTTAATAATCATAATCATTCTAAAAATTAAGATTGTCAGATTATTTCGATTCTAGATTTCACCAATCGAATCCCATTACCCACCTATATAATTTGAACATGTCTGAGTAGGTTATCTAAAAGTTGATATTTACCTTTGTTATAAAAGATAATAAATATTAAAATAAAGTAATGTAATAAAATATTTTTAATTTTATTTTTATATAAAATTCTATAAAGTTGATATACTTAATAAAAATTTTTAGATCAACTGTTAGATTGATTAATCTTATAATTTATACAAAGTTATTAAAGTGTGTGAGTGTTTAAGTTTGGTCGTTTTTTATAATTTATACTTTTGTAATTTAAAAAAAAAAATTTTTTAATTTAGTTCTATTTAATATGATGAAATATTTGTAATTAATTTTAAAAATATTTTTAATTTTAAAAATTTATGAAAATTATTTTAATTTAATAATTTAATTTAATCCATGAGAATTTCACTATTTATAATTAAATTTTATATTTATTGCATTTTCTAAAAATTTGGCTTTATTTGGTTTTATTTTATTTATTTTAACTTTTAACCTTAAATTTTCTTTTACTTTGTTGTCGTGTATTTAATTATATTATGTTAACAACTATTATGAGGTGTCTTGTGATATAATTTGATCCGATATATATTATGTCATTGAGTGACAGACAAATTATTTTTAAAATTTGTGAAGTTGAAAATTGAATAATCAAAACTAAATGAAGCTATATTTATAGAAAATAAAATATTTTTTTGCCTAATACTTATTATTAAAAATGTATTCAGGTATATTCTATAAAAACATTATGAGACAACAAATTCATAATATGCTTCGGTCAACAAGTAATAAGGCAAATACTTACAGATTCTATAAATGTCATTTTATAGAGATTGTTTAGAAGTATTAAGGCACTTAAATTCTAGATTATTTAAACGACAAAAGTAGCTCATGATTGAATTAAGATTAAGAAGTTAAGAAAGAATAAAGAATATTAAAGGAGACCCATAGGAATAATGTTATCTCATATAACAATTCAATATGAAAATAGTTAGAACGTTTGACCTCACATAAACCATTATTAATGTCAAATATTTCTTTTACAATTTATGTTTTATTGTAATTCTCAATCTTTTATTCTAATTCGACTATTACCTTGTGCTTATTCAATGTTAATATTTTTTTTTTATATTATTACTGCCAAATATCATATTTTTTTTATATATTAATATTTTATATATATATTATTATTGCCAAATTTCATATAAGATAACAACTAAAAAAAGCATCAATAACAAAACCTTTTTTTCAAACTGAATAGAGTTTAGAAAGTTAGAACTTTAAAACTTGTTTGGGATTTATGTTTAAGAGAGAAGGGGAGGAGAAGGGAAGAGTTAAAAGAGATTAATCATTATTTGTAAGTTGCTTAATTAAGAGGCGAAGATATTAAACTCTTCAAAACCCTCTTAACTCTTGTTTTTTGAGTTCCTTCATTTTAGAGTTTTCTCTTTCCCACTCTCTAATACTCTCTCATAAATAAGATTTTAACTTTTTTTTAAAAAAATGTTAATTTTTTAAGTGATGATTTTTTAAAAACATTTATAAAAAATAAAAAATTATAAATAACAGATATAAAATATAATATCATTTATAAACTTTCTATCACCCTCTTCTCTCAATATTAAATATCCAAATAAGAGAGGTTTAACCTTCTTTTCTTTCCATTTTTTCTCCCTTCAAACTCTTTTCTTTTCTCCCTTCCAAAGAAAGTCTAAAAGAAATAACATGAAGAAAAAAGAATTGAGCACATAGATCACGCTTGTGACATATTCCAAGGGCAAGCCAAGGTCACCTCTATATTTCTTTTAGTTCTAAATTGTTGTTAGACAGTTTTCTCTAACTATAGAGATTTTACAATAATTCTTATCTTGTGATTGTAATTTTGATATATTTTATTTCTCTATTTCAACAATGTTCTCAATACAAATATTTGCACTTTTTTGAACAATATTAATTGATGCATCATGTTGAATTTGGTGTTTATCCATGGGATCTTGCAAGTGAATAAGCGAAAGAAGAGGATAAGGGTGCAAGCTAAGGCTAAGGTGCAACACCTATGGATTGGATTAGTAAAAAGCTTTGGTACATTTCTTAGTTAATGTTAGTGTTGTTTTTTTATTTATTATTAAAATTCGAGTTTCACTTAAATAATTTATGACAATAATAAATGTGAACCTTTTATTAATTTTGCATTCATTAATCACAACATGTACCTTCAACAGTGCAGGGATGCCGAAATATAACATTGATGTTAGCTAGGTTAGTCTCAATACCAATAGTGATATCAGTAATTTCTAGATATCAGCGTCAAGCAAGTATAGAGAAGGCAAACCATAATAAAATCTAGAGAAAAATAGAATTTGTTCCAATTTGATGAAACTCAACAATTTTATTAAATAACTTAATCAATTGCATTTAATTTAACTAACAAAATAACTAATATAATTCAATTTTCTTAAATATATTAATAAATTAGATATTTAGCAAACAAAACTAAGTAATATATTATCAATTCAAACTAATTTAACCAACCAAACTAACTAATATAATACAAATTTATTAAATATATCAATCAATTGCAATTAATTTAACTAAATAAACTAATTAACATTCTACAAATTCACTAAATAAGTTAATCAACTAAAATTAATTTAACTATTCCTTTCCCTCGGATAGAAGAGCGTAGGTCAACCCATAACAGTGAACACAGTAACTGACATTATTTATTTCATAAATAAATAAAGAAGACAATACAAGGTTCAATTCACTGGTAGGGAGACTTATGGTTATCTTCTTCGACATGCATACTTACACACTTACACAAGAACATATCTTTTATTTTACATTCTTCCTAATATATTCTTCATTATCAGTTAAATTTTATTAAAAATTACAAAAATTTAGAAATGATACTCATATAATTTTGTAATTTCTAATAAATTTTAACTAATAATCAAGAGTATATTTATATTTAAAAATTCACAAATGATCTGTAAGTCTGATCTGGCATCCAGCCCAAAGGAATAACATTGGTGGCCACAATAGTCTTGCGAGACTGAAGGGTTGTTAACCTAATAGAGAAGGGTGCATGAAGTGGTGATCCATTGTCAAGTTTCCAAACAGCACCCCATGATTGCTGCATGGAGTGCCATGAGGTTGTGTCAAGTGCTTCCTTCAGTTCGACCTTTGCAAGGTCACCATCTCCGTTCTCATATTCAATTGAGGTAGCAAAGTAATATTGGTTGGATCCAGAGTCCACGTGAAAGGCTATTGACATGCCAGGATAGTTGCATTTAACTCTACAAATAAATTCAAGATCGTCTCTAATTCTGTTAGTTTCAATATTGTAAACACAATTATTATAGGTTGAAAAGAAATGACAGAGACAGAGAAATTCGATGAGTCATAAAACTGATTGAATTTCATAATTTTAATATCTTTATTTTTATTTTCTTTCATATAAAAGTTTAAGATATTACTTTAATTAATATGTTTCTTTAATTAATATTATTGTGCTTATGTAAAAATTCAAAGCACAATAAGTGAACCATTTACATTATTTTAATGGTGTAATATATAGGAACAATCTAATACTGCAATAAATATGGAAATTATCAAGTTATTGTAACAAAATGATTGAATCTAATTGTCTGTACTATCATCTTTTCTTTATTTTTCTAGATATATAATAGTAACAGAGTTACTATAATATTCAAATAAAACAAATAAATTAAAAGAGATCATGTTTCAAAAATGGGTTATTGTAATAAATATAGCAAAATATCACATTTTATGATCGATTATTGTGATATTTCCACTTATATTAGCAAAAAAGTTTTAAAAATACAAAAAAAATTTATAAATTGAAATAGGGAATATTTAAAGTGTTTTTTGAGAACACCAAGTACGTGATCAGTTGGTCTCAAATTTTTAAGGATAGTCTGATAAGAGTAGTTTACTAATTTATTATAATTTTATCTTAAATTTAGTTTTTAAGATGCAAAATTTATAAAGGGAAAAGAAAGGAATAGGTAGCGTTTAGATTAATTTTTTTAATAGATAACGTTTGATATTTTTTAATTTTTAACTTAAATTTATTTTTAATTTAAAGCAATTGGGTTATGTATTTAGATCTTGAAATTTATAGCAAGAAGGAAGACAAGCACAAACTTAAAAAATTAACTTTAACTTTTTTTTATGTGTTTACTTTATAAGAAAGGAAGCACATTTATTTTGTAAAGTCTTTATAAATTGTATTTGAAAAAACTTTTTCCTTTTAAGTAAAAGAAAATTCTAAAATAAGTTAGTTAATTAAATACTATCATAGTGGGATAAATTTTTTAAAGAAATATCTAATTATTCTTAATATGTTAATATAATTTATTAATTAATGACCATTTTTATTTTTAAAATTTTTTAATGATAAATAAAATATAGTTTTTGGGGCAATTAAAAGCGGGCTAGCTCTTATGTTGTAACTCATTGATTAGAAGCTTAATTAATTAAGATCCTATACCTTCTATGTTGAATGTCAATTTTTCCAGCATTGCGTAGTTTTCCATCTTGACCGGAAATCGCCATGGCCCCAAAAGCAGTACCACTCAAATCAAAATGATATTTACCATCAGAGCCACATTCAGGACACTGGTCAGTAATGACTACCCTCACAGGTTTTCCCGAACATGCAGTATTCCCAGTACACTTCACCTGAAATTACAGCAATTTGAAATGCAAATATATATTAATAATTAATATCTTGGCACTTGCATGCACAATAGATACATAATATAGATTTTATTAATTAGAATCCAGAAACACATTTTGTTATATATGTTGATTAATTAATTGTTAGCACCTCATAACAAGAACCACAGCCTTTGCCAGAGTTAAATACATTAGGGTCTCCTGCAGATATCATTGATGAGAATGGTGGTATCCCAACAGCACTGCCATATCCACAAGCACCACCTGCATAATCAACAAATATAATCACGTAAACCCTTTCAACCATATTTTGAGCATAAAAGATGTTTGACGTACACTCCTTGACCTAGAGAGAGATAATAGATTTAATAAGTTATATGATGTAACATAAAAGAAAGAAATAAAATGAAAATGATAAAGGGTCAAATAGGTGATGACACTGTTGAAGTATCTATAATCAAAATTATTTAAGTATTACTTTGGTACGCTCTTAATTAATTTGTATGAAGGAAAAACTGCAAGTGACTAAATTTTTGTCATACCTTCACTTCCATCCCCTTGGGGAGATCCATACCAAGTGGCCACTGCAGGTGACCAATCTGACTGAGCTGAGGAGTATGAAGCATTAACAATCTTTCTAGGGTTGAAACAAGAGGAAGGGACAATTAGAAATACTGAGAGTAAAGCTACAAGAGCGAGTAAATGAGAGAAAGCGTGTTCAAGTGTAATAAGAGACATATTATAAGAACAACTTGGGATTTGGCAGTTCCCTAAGTAGTTGTTAGTTAATTTGTGATGTATGGTGTGAGAAATATGCCATGGCTTGTTCGGTATTTATAGAGAAGTAACGAGAGAAGCACATAATTTCTTAACTGCCAAACAGTACATATATTCCGAATGGCAATTTAGAAGAATATATGGTTAATCAATGATAGAGAATTTTTTTGAGTTCCATTTTCCAAGAACAAGACAAATGAAACGTTCAAAAATTTCAGATACGAGACATTTCTTTCACGTATTCATCACCTTGTAAAATGATTAAAATAAACAGCGATATGAAAGAACAATGAATAATTTGAAGGTGGAGAGGCACTGTTTTGCCTGATTTAAAAGAGCATAAAAAATGAATTTAATTAAAATACTCGACTGGGAGCATTTGATAGAATTTTCTTTTATGCTTCTTAAAATTTTTTTAGTTGAGAATGTTAAATTTTTACACTTAGTGTGAATACTTTAATTTTTAAAAGAAATAGTATTATTCCTAAAAATAATAGTTAAACCAAATCCAATATCAAAATAATTTAGAAATTGTTGTATAGCACTCTTAAGAATATTTAAAACACATCAAATAATTTTCTACCATTCCCAGGAAACATGATAATGAGGAAAATAAAATTTTGTACACTAAATACCACGTTAGAGTAATATTAAAAAACAATAAATTATAAGCTACAATTTTTTACTTTATTTTAGAAGAAATAGATATTGTCACTTCAAAATGCTTATTATTATACCTAATTTAAAATTTTTATTTAATTATTATTAATTTAATTAACCAATAAAAGAGTATTTTATATAAAAAATACTTTTTAAAAAAGTATCTATTTTAAGTAATACAAAAATATTAGGCTTAATTGTACTTTTGGTCAAAATACTTCAGTTTGTATATAATTTTGGTCTTAATTTAATTGCTCATATCTAACTATCTTAACTTCTCAATTATTAATATTAAATCTTACACTACAAAATCTCATTCAATAATTAATAAAAATATGACATTTTATTGATCTATATTAATTAATAAAGAAACAACAACTGAATATTTAAATAAAAGATTAAATTTGTAAATTAATAACTTAATTTTTAATTTTGTTTCAATTTGATCTTTTAATATTTTTATTTTATTTAAATTTTTAGTTTTTAAAAGGATTTTAAATAATTTATTTCTTTTATCAAAAGATATTAATTCTGTTAAAAAATATTATTTATCTTCTTCCTCGTTCTATATCCTTTACTTTACTTCTTCTTTTATTGATACTGTTCACCTGTATGCATCGCCTTTCATTTCTTTTCCATCTTTTTACTTTTTTTCTGTCAGATATACACTTATTTCTACCTTATTTGGATGCATTTGTTGTGATTGCATTAGTTTATGTTATACAATACTCACTCAACTAATGAAAAATTTGTTAAAATGTGTTGTATTTTATTAAAGTTTAAATTAGGTTAAATAAGTGATGAGAGGTAAGAGGTGGAAGAAAAAGAATAAGGAAGAAGGACAAGAGAAGGAGCAAAACGGTAATTTTTATGAATTTAATGTTTTTTACAAAAATAAATTGTTTTGAAATACTTTTTAAAGTTAAATAATTAAAATGAAACAAAACCAATTGTTAGTGTACCAATATATTAATTTATTCTAAATAAAATTTATAAATTTAATAAAAGCCTTTTTATTTATTTATTTTTTGTATTTTTTTTATAAACTTGTATTAATCAATGATATATTATAATTTTTAATATATTTTTGTTAATTAATTAATAAATAATATTTTAAGACAAATAATAAATTATAAAAAATGTGAATAATTAAAATTTTAAAAAATCACGTATAAATTAAAATATAAAAACTAAAAATATAATCAAGCCAAAAATATTATAAATTAATAAAATAACCTTATTTATCAAATTATTTTATTTCCTTTTACTACCTAGAAATTACCAAAATAGATTTAACACCATTTTCCTGGAATCCTCGAGTTTCCTGAATTGCTCCTTTCCTTGGGAAAGTCATCATCTTGGAGATCCCAACCATGATCGTATCAAATATGAGGTAAAACTTAGATATATATCACTTTCCTTATTTGAGAAAAAGGTAATAGTTACCTAATTTAATTGAGATATAACTTTTATTATTTTCATAACCTCTAACCATTGTATAAAGGAAGTAACACTCAGTTGATCTAATCTTAGTTTCTCATTCTCTGAACTCGTGATGTTTCTTTCACTTAAATTGATATAAAGTATCTTTATTTATCCACATGTATGTATATACACATATCTATTTCATTTATCTATTTTGTTTATTTAAGTCTCTTAAATATAAAATTTATACTAAAATAAATATTATAAACCTTGTAAACAATACTTATTATATATTGTTGATTAAATATATAAAAATATAAAATAAATGTAAACTACGTAAATGTAGCGAAATATTAAGAGCAAACACTTTGTTGAAAGAATCATACTACGTGTGCTTTAAATGGAAAAAGGGTCAAGGAATTACAATTAGTGAGTATATACATAAGAAAAGTTTCTTAATCCAGTCAAAGTAATTAAGAAATCGTTTTATTCTAAACGAAGTTGAAGACTTAACTTTCACAATAATATGTTTTTAGTTATTGATTAAAATTTATTAAAAATAAAAAAAAATTATGTAATTTTTTATTTTTAATTTAATAAGTCTTTCTCATACTTTTGTAGTATTTAATAATTTTTAGTTAATAAAAAACATATTAAAAAAATATATGTTAAAGAATACTTTCTTGACATTCTTCATAGAACAATACACAACAAATAAATTTTCAAAAAGAAAAATTTATAAAATAAGACTATTTGAATTTGTATTTATTATATTTTTGAATAGTATATGCAAGAATGTAAATTAGTTTTTTTAATTCCGTTGTTTTATTTATAGGATATAAAATGATGCACTTTCATTTACATGTTATAATATAAATAATATGTTTTATTTTTTATTTAATTATATATGATCAAAAAAATTTACAATTAAAGGCACATAATCACAGAAATAAAAATGAAAATATAATGTTCATATAAATAATATTTTTAATGTATAATCAAATTTAAGTAGCTTATAATAATTTATTTAAAATGATAATTAAACTTAAAAATTACAAAATAAATTATTAAATATAATTTTCATATTTATAAATATAATATTAGTTTTTATTATAATTTCATCATTTTAAAATATATTTATCAACTAAGTTTGTTCCAAATAATAACCCACACACACACACACATATATATATATATATATATATATATATTACTATATGCTTTGTGTAATAAATTTACTGACAGTAACAATTTGGTTTTGTAATAGGTAATGCTAATAAATTTTTGTAATATGTAAGTCACATCAAATAGGTATGCTAAATTAGCAAATGTATTGTTTAATAGTAGTATTAAAATTAATATATATTTATGCTATATCGATTTCGATTTATAATAATTATAAATAATTTTTTTTCTAAAAACTTGTAAGCGTTTGTAGTGTATATTTTTTATATTACTTAATATAATAGCTATTTTTTGTTTATTAATAGTTGTTTTAATAAATTTTAGTAATATTAAAATACATATACCCATTAATCAATAAATATAATATTTAATAATAACATTAAGTTAATCATAAAGTATAGTAAAGTTTACTTACTTTCATAAAATATAAAATTAATCAATTCAATAGTTATTTGAAAGTCCATACAAAGTATATTAATTTTATAAAATTTTATCAAAAATAAAATTAGTAAATATTAAATTTTGAATAACATACTTAAAAATGTTAAAATTATGTAAAATTTGATATAAATAACTATAAAAATAATATAAAATAATTCAACAGTTATATAAATCAATATTATTTTTTATAAAAGTTATTAAAGTGTTTAAGTGTATAAATTTAATATTTAGTAGTTACGGTTCTTAACTTTCTTTCTCTTTATACATATATAATATATTAAAATTAATTAATATTATTTTTTGTATAAAATATGTTTTAAGCAAAATTGGTCTATCAATTTTTTTTTATATTTTATTTTCATCTACCAACTTTTAAATGTATTTTAATAACTCTACTAACTTTTCACATAGTATTATTGTTGATTCATTTTTTTTCTTTGTCAGCTGCTGCTCATTTGCGTCAAACCTCTCCTTTCCCTCTTCTTTTATCATTAAGTTGTGTTATTGTTTATTCCCTTGTTTGTACTTCCTTCTCATCTTTTTTTCTTTTACTTTTACTCCCTCTTCTTTCTCTTTTCTATTGATATGGTGGATGTATGTATTGGATAATGGTTAAGTGATGTTGTGTGAGTGCTAGAAACATGAGTACATGTGAGTATGAGATGATGAAAAATAAAAATGTGAGGGTGTGCGCTGTTTTACAAAGAGAAAAAGAGAAAAAGAGAAAAAGAGAAAAAGAAAGAATTCAGACAATCAATAACAAAATTGATATAATTAATGAAAAAAATGAATAAAATACTAAAACAAAAATTAAACTAGAAGACAAATCTACTCACTTTTCTATTTAATTGATGCAATAAATTTTAATCAAGTAATTAAGTGACTTCAATTGTTTATTTAATTGATTAATCTAAAAGAGTTCATTGATTTATCATCAAATATTTTAAAATTAATATAATTTATATATAAATTACAATAAAAAAATAAAATACTTAAATTAAAAAATTATTTTTTTTACAATAACAAAAATATTGCATATATCAAAATTCTTGTTAAATAACAATGTTAATTGCTTGAATATTAGTAAATAGTTTTGCGAATACAAGTACCTCTACCTGTCCCATATTAAGCAGGTAGAAGAAATTATTTACATTATTTTTAGATGTGACAGATTTTTATGGATGTAGCTAATTTTGCTATCCCTATTCTAAGAGTCAAAAAGAGACCTACTAACAAAGGATGAGTTTGAA